AGGTTCAAACATTCACTGATGCTCCAGAAGGAAACACGACGCATTAAGAGCAAGAGAAAACTTTTGAATTTTGATTTTGAAGAGGATGAAGATGTCCAAATTTTTCTTTGGGGTTTTTCTTTGGTTGGGATTTTTTTCCCCATTTAGTTTTGCCCTTCAGAAGCATCTCAGAAGACGAAATAAGTCAAATTTACCTTGATCTTCAAATTAAAGGTGCAATAGGTGATTGTCTTCAGAAACATTTTTTGTTATGCTGGTTGAAAGTCTCTTCACATCCCGATAGCAATCATTAAGTTAAGTGGTCTAAATGTATTTGTCTGTATTTATATATTCTGTGGAAGGCGTAGGATCAAGAAATGTTCGTCCAATCAAAACGCTCGGTTCGAGTGTTTTAATATGCTTTCCTACCTGCCTGTCAACGTATGTATTAGCATACATAGTCTCATAGTCTGTGAGCGTAAATGCGTTAAGGGGGCGTGGCTTAGGACGGCGATTGCAGGGATTGTGGGACGTTCGCTTTCAGTGCTATCAGGCTAAAGTTATTATTATTACTATCATTTTCCAAGATCTCCTACTGCACCTTTAATGCGTCGTGTTTCCTTCTGGAGCATCAGTGAATGTTTGAACCTTTTTTAATAGTTGTGTTTGAGTCCCTCAGTTGTCCTCAGAGTGAAAAGATGGATCTCAAAATCATACAGTCACTGCTGGAAAGGGTTGAAATCTGCAGAAGATGCTGGAAACCTGAAGAATCTGCAGGAGCTGGAGGATCTTTCTGAAGAACAGAGCTCAGTTTAACTGTTCAGAACAAACAAGAGACTCATGAACAAACATCACAAAACACACAAACAGTCGTGGATCATCCAGGTGACACACACAGTATGAAGAACCAAGGGTTCACAAACTTTTGAAGGGGGTTATTTTAACAATTTCAGCAATTTTTTTGTCTATATGTAAACATCTTTTATGTAAAATATCTTACTCAGGACAGTACTACATAAAAAAATAACATGCATTTTGTATGATCTCTCTTATTTTGTTAAAATTATTCACAATTTCACAGATTCTGCAAGGGGTTCCCAAACTTTCGCATGCCACTCTATATAAAATGTAACATAAATAATTAATATCAAATTAAAATATTAAACATATTACATTTTCCAGTAGTTTCTGCTTATTTTTTTTTACTCACGAATAACTATTTCTACTTGGTAAAGTATTTTAGAGCTTGATATAACAAGAATATATATTTATACTTATAATAACATATTAGAAAAATATATTTATAATAGAAATTTCCATAACTTTTAAAGATGTTTATTAATTTCCATGACTTTTCCAGGTTTAGAAATCACCTTTAAACACAGAGAATTCTGTGAAATATATATAATTATAATAACATTATTATTATTATTGTTTTAATAAATTTTTTCTTCTTAAACTAGGGGTGATAATATATTAAAATAATACAGATAATAATAATAATTAAATTACTTAATTCAGCTTTCCTTTAGTTCATGTTTATTATTATTATTATTATTTACTCAAATAGCAATTTATACCCGAAAAAATATTTTAGAACTTGTCATGACTAGAATATTTATATTTATAGAAATTACCATGACATTTTAAGAAGTTCACTAATTTCCATTATCTGAAAATCACACATGTAAATATAATTTTTTTTTTTAATTCCATGAATTTTCATGCATTTCTTTTCAATACAGCATGTTTGCACGATAGTGATCATGCAAATGCTTTTATGTTTTTAACTAAAACTAGGAGTGCTAATATAATTAATTGATATAATAATAATAATAATAATAATAATTCTACAATTCAGATTTTGAGTTCATTTTTTAAGATTGTCAGGATGTTTTAGGACGTTTCTAAATTTCCATGAATTTTCCAGGTCTAAAAATCACTTTTAAAATTCCCTCATGTATCCAGGTTTTATTTTAGAAGCTGATATCCTATTTTGTGTGTTGTTTGTTCTTCAGAGGTGCGATGCTGTGTGTGGTCAAGAGCAAGAGGAAGGAGAAACACGCCGAGACGCTGACACAAGATTACATCATCACCCGTGAGTGTGACCTGATCAATACATTTGCATATATATCCTCATATACGCCAACACTCACAAAAGAGACATATAATGTTTCTATTTCTAATAAATGCTGCTCTTTTGAACTTTTCTGTTCATCTGAATCCTGAAAAATAAAATGCATCACGGTTTCCACAAGAATATTGTGCAGCACACCTGTTTTCAACATTGATAATAATCAGAAATGTTTCT